CATGTATGTACACGGTGTGGGCAGAGTAGAGAGAAACGAAGTCCTACACTAGTTCGGAAATCGGTAACTTCTTGGGACTTGGCGCCAGTTGGGTTTACAGAATTCAGTTCCCTGTGCGTAATAGTTACTGTCAGTCTAGTAGTTCATAATGCGAATTTAAATAGAAAAATTAGATGTGTTATTCATTTTTTTACCATATAGATTTTGATTAGTAAAGCAAAATTCCAAAGTTTCAGGTTAAAAGCGTAAGAAGAGACAAGGTATTGAATCACTACTCTCCAAGCAGTGGTTTGCGTTTGGGCTTATTTTTTGCGTGTTTTTAGGCTTTTTATTGGGCTTTCTCTTTTTTACGCCGACTCCAAAAAGAAAATACCAATCCAAAAAGAAAGCCCGATAAAAAACCTAAAAACACGCCAAAAGTAAGCCAAAACCCAAACCTCTGCTTAGAGAGTATTACACACACTAGAAAACGAAAACAGAGTGATTCTGTGGTGGGTTTTAATTTAATTTACAGATATTGACATCAAACACCACTCTTGGAAACGATGTGGCGACAACGGCCCGAGTAAACCAACTTAAGTGGACATCACGCCAAACAGGCCTGGTTTTTATGCACCAGGTCTCCTGGCGTGGGAGTGTAAACTTGACGAATATGGCGAAGAATAGGGGCGCTCACGAACTAGTGTTTACCTGTGAATTCTTCAGCGCCAAAGTTGTCTTTCCCTTAGCTATTAAGCATATAAGGAGTCTCTAAATAAATGTCAGAGAGGCAAATAGACTTACATAATGGGAGAGAGGGTAACAAAGTCAATTGTTTGTAGGGGATGCAGACCAGCAGCATGCTATCTTTGTAAAGCGCCCTCTACCGGAGTAAATACCACCTGCATCCTCAGCAGACTGACCACCTTTTGACCTTTCTCCGTCGTTTGACACAGTCCAGTGAGAAGTGATTCTTGGAACGGTGTGAAGAGTGTTTTCGCAGGAGATTATAAAATTACATCTCGTGTGTCAAGGAATGTTTGCCACTAAACCGAGAGAGATGGTATCGTTTCAGGCTTGAGGGGAGGGATTATCGACGGCACGTTTGCCTTCACACTTTCCGAGCGCGACCCCAATGTGACCCCAAATGTATTGCCGTCTGCAGCACTGACGAAATTACACTGCGTATAGAATCCCAATGAAACTTGTATTTTTTTGAACTAGCGATATCTCTTTATTAAATGTGGCACCACATAAAGAATAAATGTCCAGTTGTGCATCAAAGTGATATAATCGAAGTGATACAAAAAGTCCTTTTAAAACAGAATCTCGCCAATTTCCCGAACAAGTTTTTGATCATGAATTGACTATACAAAAAGGTACTAGTATGACCATGGAGGTAGAAAAAAGGTATGACGTGAGCGTCTTCAATGTACAATGCTTAATACGTTATGCATGCATTAATCATTCGTCGTGGCTATTAAAGGGCTTCTGCTTCGTAGGATAACTTCTGTCTCGTATTTCTTTATATCCGCAACCGCTTGAAATTTCTTTTAAAAGGTGCGTGTTCTTGAATTCTCGACGTTGTGGCTTCAGTTAAATTTGGCCCACCCAACCGGCGACCTCGTGCTGACCTTCGGCAAAGCCTGACATGTTTATGTAGAAACTGTCGACAGAGTGTCGAATTTTGAACAGCCTGATTTCCTACCATTGGCACCAAGTTACAAATTCGATTTCAAACCCGTGAAGTCTCGAGGTGGTCCGGCGTGAGGTCAGGAAGTCGTGACCTCGGCGGCCCCGTCTTGTACGTACACGTCAATTTGTTAATTTAAAGGGAAGGGTCCAATACACTTTCAGGGCGGCAAAACTGGATTTTCAAAGTCAATTTTTTGTCATTCTTTCAATGTAGTCAGTTGAATAAATTTTTTTTCCAAGTATACTGATATCTGTAAGGCAAAGGTTTAAATACAATTGATTTTTAACCTCGCTCCTTTCTTATATTATATCAAGGACGTTCTACAAGTTCTGTAGAACGTCCTTGATTATATCAAGGACATTATACTGTGTATAATGTCCTTGATTATATCATGGAGGTAGAAAAAGAGACCTCCATGATTATATCCAACCGACTACAAAATATTAAATATTGTATCATATTCACCTCCTGTGATTCAATTGGCTTACAGAAATTAGCAAAAGAGGAAATAGGTTTGACCGTTTTGTCAATGCCACAGAAGATCCTATAGAGAGAAGAGAAATGTTAAAAGTTGTAAAGGTCAGACTTTGTACGTTTCGAAAAGACCGCCAGGTGACGTCCGTGAAAGGTGACCTTCGCTTTGCACAGATGTGCGCAGTCACGGTGCGCAGTTTAGTGTCATTGTGTCATGTCAGTTGTCATTAGCTCAGTAATGCTGTCTGTTAAGAATGATATACTAGTACAAAATGTATTAAAACTCTTTTAACTGAAAACAACTAAAGAAGCCAGTTTGTTATTCTATGACATTCATCTGGGGAGAATCTCCTGGCAAATACTTGAAGAAGAGGATTACATTCTCCTCCAATCCTTACAACCCCGTTTTGGGAGAGCTAACACTCCAAAGATTCATGCCTTTACGTTCGAATGTCTGCTTCAAGATTACCCTGGTGCGTCCGTTCGTCCGTTCACCTGTTTGCTGCGACTGTCACATCATACTGCAGTTTCCATAAGATCGCTAGAGGTCGTCCATAAGCGGTGGCCAACGCTTCACAATCCATACTGCGCTGACGACCACCTGTCATCACCACTCGCTCGCATTCCGCTCAAAAGCCTGATGATGTGGTATCCTATGTCACCGATGTCATATACTGGTACTAGTATCACTTAAATGCCGTAAAATTCGACGATGCCAACTGAAAATGCATTCTTCAACTTTCACAAGACGAACCCCTCCAACATATACACAAGATAAATGCAGGACGTTGAAAAGAAAGTTCTTATTAACGTGATCCAGCGATTGTCATCGCTGCAACGGGTATTTATTAGTTCTTATGAAGACAGATTCAAACTAGATAATACATCAATGAGGTATCTCAAAATCACCATAACGGCAGTCATGTGATGTCACCTCACCAGACACAACTGCAAACACGTCTGTGGTCGGCAAAAAGAAGCTGGTCTCTCCTGTTGACCGAGTCAACAATCCAGCGGTGGAAGGAGCAGTTTGAACGTGGGATTAGTCGTGGTATTTACGACTGATTTGTTTGTACTTTGCTGTACTTTGTACTTCAACACAGTCACTGGCACCTCTGAACTCGGTACAGCGGCAACCTGCAAAAATAACTTCTCTGGTGGTGTTCAGTCTAATATTGTACTGTCAAAGATACGAGGGTCTGTCGCTAGCTGAAGATGTGTGCTGCTCCAAACGATATGGCTGACTCAGAGGTACTGTGCCTTCGTTAAGATACAGTATTTAAGTTAAAATATAAGAAAAAAGATCAAACTTAGGAAGCTCTTTAAATTTCTAACGCAACCCTTTCTCTTGTCAACTGTCTGAAGCAGTGGTCTTACTTTCTGGTCAATTCTTGTCGTCAACTGTTGAACTGCCCGTTTCATTTTAACGATGTACTACAGGTATTATGGTAATGCTACCGTTGCCGCTTATCTAAATTATAGCCAGGACGAAATTCTTTAATGACGCAATGTTTTCTTTTTTGTGTGTGTGACAGGTGGAATGCAATGGATGATGAATAACTTTTGATAGGCTGCATGCTTTCTGGATACTCTTGTTGCCAAATACTCTGATGAAACAAGGGCTGGGTTGGGCTAGGGTGGTACTATCCGTCATGTACAGTCATGAGGTCTGGAAGTATTGATTCTTCTGGAGAATCGAAGCTAACAAAAGGGTGTGTGCGTATGTGGTCACGGCATATACAATGTGGTTACCGTAATTACGTAATTTGGTTAATACTGGATTAAAAAGAAATGCTTTTTTCAACTTCACAATAAAAAATATTTATCTGTGCTGATCGCAAAACGCTGCCTGGATTGATATACTAGTAGTTCCTTCCGGCTTAGGAGCTCGTCGGTGAGACGTCGCCGCAATGCCTGGGATTGAAAGTCCCTGCTTTGCTAAAGCGACGTCTTACGTTTCTGTTGTTCACTACAGCCTTTAGGTTTCAATTTTATTTTAGTCACCTCCGCATCATAACGTCACAATGCCTGTGATAGTGTGCAATAAAGAATAAACTTGTTAGCAACTTAAAAATTGCGATGGTAATGATACTAGTCAACAATGTAACACATTGAATTAGTGATTCTAATAAGGGGAAACAGTTTCTGATTTTCTTCTTCATCATAACGAGAGCTGATGCCATCATGAATTGGCATTAAATAAAGTTGCCACTTTGATCATTCCAAAATTCTATCAACAACCCTGAACAACAACCATTCCGGTAAACTCCTTGTGTGTTCATTGACTGCGTGCCCTTGCTTCAAACTTTTCAAAGTATTCAGCTTCTGTACCAAAGGATCGGTGTTTGAAATACTTCCTTGGCCCACACCTGGAGGTTTTTGGCCGCTTGAGGACCTATTAAACTCGTTCGGTGTCAACCTTCGCGGTTATCGACACCGTCTCCCTAAAACGTGTCATTAATTACTCCTGCTGACGAACAGGAGCCGAGTGATTGACGTCGCTGGCGACCGACAGGAGTTTTCCCACGAACTGTTCCAGATGAAAACATTACAACTGGGTCAGGAAGTAACCTGACGCGTCTACCTGCCCCATGCATGTGCCGTCGCCAAAAACACTTTTATCCCGTGAGCCTCTGGGAGATCTGACCTTTCGCCCTGATGGACTATGCCACTTAGTTTCCAGGGAGAATTCATTTTTATAGTTTAATACCTTTTGGAGGGAAATTAAAACGGATAAAACCTGCTTACACCCTTTTGCTATCAATATTTCACGTAGTTAAGTGATTTATTCAGGGTTTTTGCTCGATATAATTGAACATTTCGTAAAGCAAACCCTTCAAGTTGCCACATTCCCGGGATGTGGTGATCCGTGACGTCAGCACAGCAGGGTGTAGCACGTACATCAGAGGTTTGTGGACACGGCACAAGGTGGTGGTGTTTCTCAACAAACTGACAAATTCTACCTATCAAACCATCGAGATCCGTGCGAGACCGTCTGGCGGTGGAAAACAGAGCTCACCAACATGACAGATGTCATAGTGAACGGGAGTATAGAAGAGGAGACGGGAGAGAAAAGCCCGCCAAACGGTCACCGACCGTTCCGGAAGGTATGTCCGGGGGACTAGGCGAGGATAGCCGAGCGATAGGGAACACGACGGCACGGTGTATTCCGCACGGGAAGGGTGGGGGAGGCTGTTTTTAGCGGTCAACAGAGAATGTGTGCTTTTGTGCTATTTCCCTGTGTATCTAGCATTCGCACATGCACGATAACTCAGTGTAAATAGGGTTAGAGAGTTAGGGACGGCACCTAACGTGTGGATAAGTCAGTGGGTGGATACCAAAACCCAAGGATCGGATATTGACTCACTAACAACAGGTAGTGACTAAAGCAATGGGTCAGCTAAAGCAAAGTCCACAGGTTGTTAAGTTATCAGCAAAACTGGGTGTGGTGCTTCTGGAATTTCATAAACTATGGCAGACTGCCTTTCAGTATGGAAAACTGACTAGAATGGGCCATCTGTGGAGGAATGTCAACAATGTATTACAAAGGATGGATGGAAATGTGCTATTTGCGGTGTACAATGAGGGAAAAATTGAGACCACAGTCATGCAAACATGCCAGAATTAATCTGTTGACTCGCATGCTTTGTCATTTATTTGTCCAATAGAGATCATGAAAATGTGTGATAAACAACATCTTTATCACGATGCAGGGTATTTAACTCGTTTATCTATGCAGGTATGTGTTGTGTCGAATGTGATGTATCTCGCTTGTCCATATGAGCCATATCTTACACTTCTACCCACCCCCAAAGTGCTTTCTGTAGGTGTTGAAGCTAGTTACTCTGTAGAACAATATACAACATTGCAAAAACATTACAAGGAAATATGAATTAGAAAGTAACACAGTCTCCCTTCCCCATTATCATTCCTGGTCTGTCCCTAGAGTTTGTTGTGAGTGGATTATCCTTAACATCCTGATCATTGTTGTGTGATGATAGTGTACACGTTGGGACACTCAGCTTGACAAGGCCAGAGAACTAGCATTTTGAAGCCGCTGTGATGTGCAGTAGTGTCTGCACTATCATTACCTTTAATAGTGGCCACACCTTGTTAAAAAGGTTGATATTGTTAATGAATAATGGTCACAAACCTTATTTATTCTATTTCAGTTGCAATTGTAACACTGTCACATAGTCTTAAGAGAGTAGACTTCTACAAAGTTAGCATGCCAAGAAAATTATAGGTGAAACACAATACAACTGTATTCAGCAGAAACAATAAATGCCCTAGTGACTTCAAATTCAATATACAATGCTGTATGTAGCTCTTTGACACCAATTTTCTCTGTCCTTGTTCGCAGGGCTCCAATCCGCTGAACCAGACACAGCGCGGCCGACTGCAGCACAGGAGGAGCGTGCTCAACACGCAGATCAACAAGGAAATGCGGATGCGAGCTGGCGCTGAGAACCTATACAGGTAAAAACACACCTGAACCACACTGGGTCATCCCTTATGTTCTTAAGAAGGCAGTTTTACCAACAGTATGTATGTTTATGTATGTCTTTTCTTGCAATCTTTCTGTTAATTCATGACAGCATTTGTACTCCAAACTTGAAACCCACTTGAATTACACTGGTCATCTCCTTTGAATGGTTTGGAGTTCAAAGTGAATCGTCTGTAATTATGTAGTTGCGTAGTTTGCTTGTAAGGTGGAAATTGGCCCTTTTTGTCTCTTTGCATACCAAGGGTTTTACCGCATTTGTTACAAGCTGCGAAGTAACATTCAAATGGGTATGCTTTGGTAGGAGTTAGGGTAAATCTTTTGTAGTCTTGTACAAAAGAGTTTTGCCTGCCATGTGGCCATTGTTATGGCATACTTAAACTTGATATTATAGTAACAAATCACCAGACTTTAAGTGTGGTTATCCTATTGTTGGTTTGTATCAGACACCTGTAGACCTCACAATAGTAGCAACTTGTTCACACCATTACTTTCTATACATCTATTCTGGTAGCTTTTACATGATGGCTTTGGTCTGGCCTCCTTGAAAGAGAAAATGTTCTATAGGTGAAATATTTTAGCAGGTGTTCAAGTAAAAGCAATGTGAACAGCTATAAACAAAGAAGTTTGGATAGCAGTTAGGTACAGAATTCCTTCTTAACTCTAAACGTCGACTACCATTGTACATGTGATAGGTTCAAGTAGTTCAGAAGGCCAAAGCTTAGATTTCTGTGTTTACAAGGGGTTTAAATCTCTTCTCCCTAGTTCTATACAGGATTCTATGGGATAATTCTAAACAGGTGTGTTCAATAGGAGTTGTCAGGGTTTGTGTCTATGAGTTGTTAACACCCTACCATGGAATGTTAAATAGCTTCTCAAATTCTTAAAGACAGATCCATGGAATACAACTGTTTTCCAATGTGTGATTTTGTTGTGTGCCTGTTTGAAGTCAAGAGGACAGGTGTGTTATATTGAGAGGTACCTGTGATGTGTACAGGTGAGTGAATGGGACTCCAGGTTACCCTCACCCTCGCCACAGGGTGCCATCTCTCGATCTCAGATTAGAACAAAGATTGTGACCTGGGAACAAAGGTATAGTCTATTCTTGTCACTCAGTTTAGCTGGCTAAAGTCCAGGTTTTGTCAAAGACTCCAACTTTTGATTAAATAGGTTGTAATTTTCTGACTGTGACAATTTGAAATGTTAGTGACAAATTCACTGTGAAAGCTAGACATCCGTGTTGTGGGTTTTCCAGAGAATCCTGGTCTCCAGGAGGAAAAAAGATAATTATAACCTATGAATGATGTCACCTGTTGCCTGATGCACAGGTCCCTTTTGGGTAAAACAAAAACCCTTAGCCTGGCCCCAGGCATTGGGCGAGGTGTGAGTGACAGGTTAGGGGTCGCCTGCTGAGGACGTGTTAGAGATATACACATTCTTGGCACAGCTTAGCCAGCTCTCTGATACCCATGCCAAAACTTGAAGGTCAGGGCTGACCACAAAAAGTCAAACTATTTCTCCAGACAAGATCAGTCGGATCGGGCAGGTTGCACCATGTCTTCCATGTTGTCCTTGATGCCATAAGATTAATGTGTTGTTCAAAGTTCAACGTAGCAGAAAATATCTTCTCTTGATTACTTGTCCCAAGGCCATTGTACTGGTAATAAAGGAAAGGTCATCTTACATAGTATGTCCCTGTCACAAGCCTTTGGAGTACAACAGTATTTTAATGTAGTATCTGTAATACTTTACCTAAGAAGTGACTAATTGTAATTAAAAAGTTTGTGGTTTGAGAAAAATGAAGGTGTTCATGGAACTATATTTTCACGGTCACGGCAGGTGCAGTAAAAGAAGGTCAGCGAATTATTTGTTAACAGTAATGATAATTTGTGGTACAGAAGTGACCGCAAAAACTGCAGACATAAAAGTACCCCCCAAAAATCAGGAATTACAGTGCAGAAACAATGACTTGCAGAGCCTCAGCCACTTGTGATGACACTGTATCATTATGTGTAATTATCTGGCTCAAGCAGGTTAGGTCTCACACTTTTTACTTCAGCATGATGAGACTTAAATGGCAGACAAAAGGTGGGACCATGTCAATGTCCTTATGCCACACCAAAGTCCCTTTTACACCAGACAAATTCAATAGATGTTGTAATCAAATTCTGCTCAAACAAGACCGACCTTCCATTCATTCTTTATCCAGTTGTAGCACGATTACCACAGCTCATCTGACTTGTTTCTAGATGCTTCCTAATCACTGGATAATTTGTAGATAGGGGGCAATTTTGGCTTGCTTCTGTTTATAGAAAACATAGGAAGCAAAGTCAATTTAGTGTCTGATCATTCCTTTTTGACCAATACATGTGACAATTTTTTAAAAAATTGTAATTTTGATACTGAATGTCCTCTGCAAAGAGCGCTGGAAAAATGTCAGTGGCCAAATTGGAATTTACCCCTAGCAAAGTTATTTTTGCACAGGGTACACATTGTGTTTGCTTTGACGCATGTCAGTATGTATATTTGAAGCTGGTAACCTGCGTATGCTGTGACACACCTGCCATGTAAACAATGGGAGTGTCCCGCCTGTGTCACAGGTAAACCCTTAACTTACAGGTATTTTCCTTTGATGATTCAGAATATTACACTAGTCATGGCCAGTTACTCATATTGATCTTAAAAGGTCCCTTTACTATTATGAGATACAGGTTACAGTTTGTCAGAACTGATACTAACTGCATTTGTAATTATAAATAAGTTATGAAGGTGGCCCTGGATATACAGTGGAGAATTGGAGAGCCTTTGTGATGTTCTATATTTGAAAGAATTATTGCATGGTTGCTGCCATTCCTTTCTTTGGAGTTACAATTGCCATGGAAGAATTGATGGAAAATGTGAAAGATACATTGCGTACAAAAAGTCTGTAAATGCCAAGATAATTTCATGATTGAACATTTTATGGTTTTGAAGTGGAATAACCCACCATGTATGGCGCAGCTGGAATTGTGAGGGCACTCATTCTCACCAGTTGAAGCACCTTTTGTTCACCTTTTATACAGTATAGTACAGGAGAGCACTCAACTCAGATAGCTTGTGTTATGTAACATGTGTTATGAAACATTGTGGTATTAAATTTCCTGTGAATAATATTTGAAATTGCCATGGTAATTGTACGTAAGCAAACATTAAGCTGGGATACAGTAGCTGTTGTATAACAAAAACTCACATTTGCTTACTGGATGTTAACACTTTGTACCCACACTCTCTAACATGCATTGTTACTGTGAGCAAGTGGCTACCTCTTTTCCCTGGGTATTGTAGACAGAAAAGCTGCTGATCTTGAATACACAAACTTGTATAAAGCAAGGTTTTTCTTTCCCACAGGTAAGAAACGGGAACAACTACACTACTTGAAATGCCTATGGGCTGAAATGTTTTTCTTGGGCTTCCTGTACTAAAGACTGGCTCAGTGTAAGATATATCCTTTCAGGGCTTACAAATGCAATGTAATTTATTATGCACAATGAATAGCCATTCAAGCTTGTTACAGGTGACATTCCACACAACACACAGGTCCAAACACAATGGAGGGTCACCATGTTTAGGTCTCAGGCATGACAAACATTTTGCATGTCAATGTTGTGTTTACTCGAGTTTTTGTGAAGTCAGAAAATCCTGTATTTGTTAGAATTGTGAGGAAACTTATCAAAGCTTTCAAAACATTGGTCAAAATCCACTTTACTAAGAAAATGTGTTCTCTATTTCGCTGAGCTTGTTTTTTCCAGGTGAGAGCACATGTGAAGATGTAGTCAGCTGTGAAAAATGTCTGGCCTCAAAAGATCCTCACAATTCTTAAGTTTACACAGGGTCTCCTTAGATCTTGCCGTTCAAATTTTTACCATCTAAAAGAAGTACTTGAAGTGGTGGCAACGTCAAACAAGACAAGGCAACATACCCGTATTTTCATAACTGTCAGTCTTTTACCATATGACAGATTATATTGTTAAAAGATGGATTGTGTGTTTGTATTGTTCATCTCTAAAGAAAGGATGTCATTAAATATTTAGAAGCCACCTTTATAACCATTCTTACACAGGGACAATTGGTAAAAGAAGAACTTGTCAAGCTTCCAAAATTTGTAGACATGCCTTTCTTTGTTTCCCTAATGTAGAGGTTGTTTAGGATTCTGTTGGTTCTGTTTTGTTTTGGTTATATTTTCCATAATGCCGCTGGCTCCCACCCTTTGTATTATGGCCAGTGGCCAGGTATTCAGGAAATTCCATTCCTGGTAGTTTCATCTACAACACTGCACCAGGGCACTTCATGCATGTCCTCTTTATTAAATTACAAAGACTTGTTCACTGACTTCAAGGCCACTATAAGCAAGCTTGGTGGAAGCTCCTACATGTAGTTCCAAGCACTAGTGTCTAGGTTTTGGAGTTGTATCGTAAAAGAAAGCAGACTAAACAAGCAGTGTTAGCAGATTAGTTGTAGGCGTGAGTGAAATATACCAGACTTGTTCAATTTTGTGTCCGCTAAGCACTTAACTCTGTGTTGATGTTAGCTTTGTTTATGCCCCATGGTAATATAGAGATGCCTTTTAGACGTTTTATTATGTCTCTTGGCAACATCATAAGTGATTGGGGCTTTCATGGACTTTGTCAGTCCTGAACCAAGAGTTGTACTGCCATATTCCTTAGAATGGGCACTATGCTACCGGTATACCATAACAAAATACTACAGATCTTAATATGTCTCGGAAATGATAGTTCCATGAACAATTACTCATTCAATCCTGCTCCTGTAGCCTTATGTTTTAGTCCATTTGAACGTGCAGATTTGGATGGACATTTCCTTTTAGATCCTGGATACTGTTAATCATTCCCTGGCCTTGTTTCAAGTGCATATCACATTATATTGCCATTATTGCCACACTCAATACACAGTCTATTTGCCCATTATCTCAAAAAGG